TTTTTTTTAATGGTTTTGGTTTGTTAAGACATCTGGCTTAAATTGAAACATTATGAAATGTTTTGAGTATACTCTTTTGTGAATACTCTTAGGTGACGATCAATATCTGCCTCCCAATGGCATATCCATTTCCTCTAGCACCAACATATATATTGGTACCAGCGATTCAGAGGTGCTTAACCACTGAGCCACATCCCCAGCCCTTTTATATATTTTATTTAGAGACATGGTCTCGCTGAGTTGCTTAGGGACTTGCTAAATTGCTGAGTCTAGCTTTGAACTCATAATCCTCCTGCCTCAGCCTCCCAAACTGCTGGGATTACAGGTGTGCACCACCATACCTGGCTGTAGCACCAATTTTGAATATTATCCTTTCCCTATTGTTTTACCTTTGTTGAAAATCAGCTGTAAAAGTTGTTCTATATCTGGACTTCATTCTGTTTCATTGATCTATATGCCTGCTCTAAGGCTAGTACCACAATGTCTTGATAACTCTAGTTTCACAGAAAATCTTGAAATCACAAGTCTGCTAGCTCTGTTATTCTATTTTAAAATGCATTAGTGATTCCAGATTCTTTGCGTTTTCATGTAAATTTTATAATCAGTATGCTAGTTTCTTTAACAAACCCTTTTGAGATTTTTATTGGGATTTTATTGAATGCAAAGATCAATATAGGGATAACTGACATAGTTTTGAGTTATTCAATCCATGAACACATTACAGTCTACTTAGATCTTTAATATTCCTTGGCAGTGTTTTGTAGATTTTAGAGTACAGATCTGTATCTTTTTTTTTTTGTACCAGGGATTGAACTCACGGGTGCTTAACCACTGAGCCACATTCCCAACCTTTTTTATTTTGAAGCAGGGTCTCGTTAAGTTGCTTAGGGCCTCCCCAAGTTGTTGAGGCTGGTTTTGAACTTGAGATCCTCCCACCTAAGTCTCCCAAGCCACTGTGCCCAGCCCTGACATCTATCTTGTTAAATTTATTTATTTATTATTATTTTTTGTGATGCCGGGGATTGAAGCCAGGACCTTGTGCATGTGAGACTAGCACTCTGTACCCACTGAGCTACATCCCAAGCCCAGATTTATTTTTACATACTTCATGTTTTGGATGCCACAGCATATGGTATATATTTAAAAATGTCTTCCTCAAATTGCTGTTAGTATACAGAATTACAGTTTGTGTATGTGTACTTGTGTGTTGCTAAGGATCAAATGAAGATTCTTGTGTGTGTGCCAGGCAAGCACTCTACACAATTGTGGCTTTTCTTGTATATTAGTCTTGTATTCTGTGTTTTCTGCTTGCTTATTAGTCCCAGTTGCTTTTTTGTACCCTAAGTCATGATATCTGTGAGTAGAGTTTTACTTCCTCCTCTCTGATCAGTGTGCCTTTTCCTTCTTGTGCCTTACTGATCAGGTTAGGACCTCAGGTAAAATATTGAATAGAAGTGGTAAGAATGGGCATGCTTACCTTCTTGGCTTTTGGGGAAACTCTAGTTTTCACCTGTTACTGTGCTGTTGGTGATAGGCTTTTTGTAGAT